GACGCTTCGGTCGGCCAGACGTGGGAGGGACCTCTCGCCGGAGGGGCCTCCGGTGCGGGCCCAGCGGCGCTCCCCGATTTGCCGAGCGCGGTGCGCCACGAGCGCCTTGCGCGCCTGCGCTTGGTGCCCCCGCGGCCCCCCCAAAAAGCCGCGCACCAAAGGTCACTCTTACAGAGTGCTCATTTCTAATTCGTGTGCTGCACGTGGCCTCCGCCGCCCCTTCGGCGCGCTTCATTTCTAATTCGTGGCCCGAATTGCAAATGACCGGAATTAGAAATGAACGCGCTTGTTAGGCCCCGGAGGCCCCAGGGCAAATGCACCCAGCGCGTACCCAGGGTCACTCCTGCGTGTAGCCGATTCGGGGACGAAGGCTCATGGCGCCAACATCGCAGAGCAGAGTTCGTTCGGGAAGCGATCGGGTGGGCCCGGGGTGTCCTGGAGGATTTCGTTCCGGATTTCGAGGCGGATTTCGCGCGGATCTTTTTTTGGCCAGGAGTGAAGACAGAAAAACAAACACATGCGAAATTCACTTCGTTTTTCGCTCGCCGCTTCGGGCAAACATCCACGCAGAAATCCACGCAGAAATCCGCTGCAGCACGTCTGCAAGGCTGGTGCAATGACGAAGGCACCTTGGAATCCCTCCCTGTGGGCGACGAAATTCGCAGGCGATTTTTCTCCCCCAGCACCTGGCTTTCGACACAGAATGAAGCAGCTCAGAAAAGGAGGGGAATTCTAGGATACACCCCAAGAGGGCTATTCGGACGCACCCCTATCGAGGATGGACGCCCCCCCCCGTATGTCCCAGGGTTGGGCCCAAAATTTTTGGTCCATTGGAAAACCCCATGAAGCCTAGGATAGGTCGACATATCCCTTGTTAGAAGTCGATGCGTACCCACTGCTCTCTGGCCGGGCCCTTCTTGGGCCCAGGAGCGGTGTGTACGCCCTCCTGGCCAAGCCAGGAGAGCGTGGCGTATACACCGCTGCTAGGTTCAGGATGGGCCTGGCCAGGGAGCAGTGGATTTGTATAGACTTCGTCGCCCTATCCTTAGATATCACCGAGGTCGGCGCTGGCACTCGCGTTATATTCCAGCCAGCCCGTACTTCGGTCGTAGGCAGTTTTGTATAGGCATACTGGCGTTATCCTGTTTAGTTCTCCCTTCTGGATCTCAGAGGAGAACAGGGTACCCATACCATTACCCTCGCCTCGTTGCCCTCTTTTTTGGGCCTCCCGCGAGTCCCTCGTCGCCACCGCAGAATTCGCTCAAAATCCTGGTCAGAACGCACCCTGAGAGAGGTCTGGCGAGTAGTGGTATCAGTACCTTTGCTTTCCCCATAGGTCGGCGCTGGCACTCGCGTGTTATTCCAGCCAGCCCGTACTTCGATCATTGGTAGGTTTGTAGGCATATCGGCGTTGTCCTGTTTATTTCTCCTCCTGGGTGTTCGAGTATGGGCCCCTTGCTGGACGCAGCCATTCGAGTGAGCAGCCCTCCCTGAATCACTCCGCAGCCGCAGGGGTCTGGGCGCCGATCCCAGAGCATCTGCGCTTCCTCCCCCTCCCCGTCCTTCTCCCTCGTGATGTGGCGCCGCCCGTTGCGGCGGCGAGATTGGGGGGGATTGGCGTCCTGAGGATTCTCGGAGGCGACGATAAGGGCGAACAGCCCAGGGACGGGCATTACACGTATTCGCCCAGGAGCCCTTTCGAAGACATGGTCATCGGCGCACCTGCGTACATGCATTGCTCTCCCTTCGGCTATTCGCCCCTATCGTCGCCTCTGAGATTCGGACCGCGCGGCTTCTTCCCGCGCGGATCGCAGCCCGGCTCGAGGCTCGGTGGGAGGGGCTTCGGCGCCTCCGAGGCGGGTGCGCCCAGTCTTGGAGGCGGAAGCCGAGCCCTGCCCTCGCCGACGGACGGTCCCGGACCCCCGCAAGGCTTGTGATATGCTCCAACCTGCTTGAGGTTTCATCGCCAGAAGGACTGGCGAGCACCACAAAAGTTCCGAAACTCGAGGGCTTTCACGTGTCGGGCCCTGGGAGGCACTCGTCCGACACTGTTTCGACACTCTTTCGACACTTTTCTGGGTGCTCGAAATTATTTCTGGGATGTGGTCCCTAAGGACGACGGGAGCAACAGAACGCAAGGCATCAGCAGATCACGACGGAGGGTGTTGTGCTTTTTTCGGCTTCTTGGTGCCCCAGCCCAGGCTTCCTCGAGTCATGGAACAAAAAGTACGACGGGAAGTTTATATTCAGCTTTTCGGCATCCTGGGGGTCCTTGCCGGGCCTCGGGGCCGTGACGAGAGCGATTCGGACCGGGGACTGGGTCGAGACCTCTGGGGGTCCGCGTTGTTCATGACGTCGGGGGTCTGGGATTCAGGCAACTCGATGGGCGGCCGAGGTCGGGTTCGGACTTCGTAGAGCACGCGGCGAAATTCGGACCCCGCCCCCCCCGCCTCCCATCGATTCGGGGGAATCGATGACTGTTGGGGGCGCGCCCAGCCTGAGAGCGCGCGCCGCGCCAAGACCGACGCCGCTCTTACCAGTCCAGCGAGCGCGACCCCCCCGGGCTCAGCTCGAATCCTTTCGGCCCGATTCGATTCGACTTCGGTCGATTCCGATTCCGATTCCAATTCGATTCGATCTCGGATTCCGATTTGATCTCGGTTTCTCTATGGAAGCCTTACTTGCCTGCCAATTGGCGCCAGTTCGACTCCTCCCGACCTGGCTGCCGCTTGCCGCCGATCCGATTCGCTTCGATCGCCGATCAGACTTCTCGATTCGATTCCGGGCTCTCCTGTCCTCCCGGCGGGGTCAGGAGGAGGAGGACGACGAGGAGGAGGAATAGCAGGAGGAGGTGGAGGAGGAGGAGGAGGAAGAGGAGGAGGAGGAGAAGGAGGAGGCGGAGGAGGAGGAGGAGGAGGAGGAGGAGGGTGAGCGAGGATGTGGAGGAGGAGGAGGAGGAAGCCCACGAGGAGGAGGAGGAGGAGGAGGAGGAGGAGGAGGAGGAGGAAGCCATACGGCCGAGGAGGGGCTGGGACCGTCGCGGCATCGTTCGTCGTCGGTCGCCCCGTCGGTCGTGGCTCGCGCGCCGCGGAGCCATCAAAGAGAAGACAAAGAGGCGCCGCAGCCGCGGCGGTCACCCCGACCGCCACGCCCAGGATCAAAGAAGAAGCCTGGCACCGCCGCGCCAGGACCCAAAGAGGACAAAACAGGCTGCTGATAAGATTGGCGGCTGCAGCCAGCAGGTTGGAGCAGCACCACAGTGCGCAGCAGCCCCAGCGCCACCAGCAGCACGCCATGGAGCAGAACTGGAAACAGCAGCGCGACGCCTCGAGGGAAAGGTGGTCAGGAGCAGGGACCACACACCTCGAGGCGTCGCGGCGCGGCCCTGGGAAAAGGTGGACAGGAGCAGGGTCCACAGCCCAGGCGCAGCGCCAGCGCAGCGCAGACTGGACTGGCGACTACGGAGCCATTGGTGGGCGGCCCTGGGAGTGGCAGCAGCATAGTCAGCAGCAGCAGCAGCAGCAGCCTCAGACCCACAAGCGCCACCACCAGCAGCAGCAGCAGCCACAGACCCACAAGCACCAGCAGCAAAGCGACAGCGACCAGCACTGGAAGCACAGTGCGCCCTGGAGGAGCGCCTCAGCCAGAAGGAGAAGCGGCAGGCGCAGAAGAAGGGACCAGCTCGACACGCCTGCCGCAGCCCACATCGGCAGCTACCAGTACAGCCCCCAGCAGAAGGCAGTCCTGGACAGCATCACGCCAGTCTCCTTCGCCGTCGCGATGGAGCACGAGAGCTGGTCCGCACCGCCAGATGACGAAGAGAAGAGGTTCGTGTGGTACAAGACCAAGTGCCACAGGCTGGGTCGTCTCTCCGAGAACATCGCAGGTGCTAGGCCGGCCGGCTTGTGCACAACCAGCCTCGAGCAGGAAGCGGCGATCACCGCCGCGAACATCTCCTTCGTTCTGCCCCACAAAGAACGCATGAAGCAGCTCAGGGCCACGCTGGAAAAGCTGGAGGAGGAGCATGCCGAGATGGAGAAGCGGCTCAGCAAAATGCTGGACCAGGAGGCGACGGCCGCCAGAACCATCAGGGTCTACAGGACCCTGATGAGGGAAACCAGAGATCAAATGGCCAAGTCGGCGGGAGTAAGGACGAATCGTCTGAGGAAGATGGGAGCCATGACCCCACCAGAGGACGCACGCCACACCCGGCCGCGAGGAGAAGGCGCGACCCTTCGGCAGCTCCAGTGGCACCGGCCAAGGCCCAACCTGCCACAGCTCAGCCAGCCCCAGCCCAGCAGGCCCGACCAGTCCTAGCAGCATCAGACGAGATCAAAGATGCCATCAGGAGATTGACCGAGAGGCTTGATTCGCAGCAGAAAAAAGAACAGCAGCAAAGCGACCTACTAGCACAAGCAGAGTTCAAGCACAAAAGCGAGCTGAAGGCCTACGAGCAGACCATCGCGCAAAAGATGTACCACACGACCGAAGCGCAGTTGGCCAAGCAGGAGGAGTGGCACATATGGGAGGTCAACGCACTTAAGCGGCACCACAACGCCAAGCTGGAGGAGGAGGAAGCAAAAGCATACGAAGCACAAAGAGGCACCCAGAGGACACAGGAGGAAAGGGCCAAAGGGATGCTCGCAGACCTGCAAATGCATATCGAGTTGGAAAAGAAGACTTTGCGCGAGGAGATGCACAAGGAAGACCAGAGAAGAGCAGTCATCTACACGCAGCAGGTCCAGAAGGCCAGGCAGGAAGAGCAAGTTGTGAGAGAGATGGCAACCCAGGAGGCCCAGTGGTACAAGATGGCGCAGGAGCACAACGAGAAGGCGACGCAGGAGATGGTGGAGGCGGAGTACCAGGAGAGATGCGCCCGTCTCAGCGCTTATAAGGAGGAGGAGCTGCGGATCGCAGTGAACTATCAGCAGATGGCCCACGAGCATCAGGATGAAGCCAACAAGCGCGAAGCGATGCGGGTCGTCCTGAACCTGGAGCAC